CATTTTCCTGGTCCCTTATTTAAGTTTTCTAGATTCCTGCTATGAATGAGACCATCCAGTATTTTTCTTTTTCTTTCTGGCTTATTTCACTGAGCATGATCCCTTCCAGCGCCATCTATGTTGCTGCAAATTGCATGTGTTTATCTTTTTTGAATGCTGAGTAATATTCCATGGTGTATATGTACCACATCTTCTTGATCCAGTCATCTATTTTTGGGCGTTTAAGTTGTTTCCAAAGCTTAGCTATTGTAAAGAGTGCTGCTATAAACATAGGGGTGCAGGTGCTCTTTGGAATTGATGTTTCTGTGTCCTTTGGGTAAATACCTAGGAGTGGAATTGCTGGATCATATGGAAGCTCTATGTTTAGTAGGTCCAGAAATCTCCTACAACCTGGGGTCCTTGATCTTCAAGGATTTGTGTCAGTGGCAGATTTTGTTCCTAGGTTTGAGATTAATTGGGCAGCCAGAAATGTCATTGTTCCCTGAGGTCTGGGAGCTACTCTATCAAATTAATCAAACCTAAAAAAAAGGGCATGGGAACTTCTGATTTGCAGCCCTACTGAACAGAAGTGAGCAACCTGAAAACCTATTATTTATGATTTGCATTTGAGGTGGGTAGAAGCCATAACCTGTGGGATCTGATACAGACTCCAGGTAGAAAGTATCAGAATTGAGTTAAGTTGTAGAACACCCAAGTGTTATCACAGAAAATTATTCAGTGGGAAAAATGTGTGGGGAAAAAAACCTCCACACATTTGGTGACCAGCAGTGAAGTGTTCTGTATGAATAGTAAAGGAGAAAAACATAGGTGTAAAATGGACTTTTCCCTTTAGAGCAATCAAGTACAAAATCACAAGCATAATTTTAATGTCTGAACCAATTCACAGAGTTCATTGTTTGAATGGGGACCAACAGAGCGTCTGCAAGTAGAGGAGACATGTACTCACCTTTTTCTTGCTTGATGAGACGTTGGCCATGGGCCCAAGAAACTACTTGGGGAAAAGGATGCATGCAGATCTACTGAGGGCTGTTGGATATAGGTAATGAGCTCCTCCTAAGAGCAGAGTGACACGACAATCTGTCACAATCCTCAGGTTAACCTGGAGCATATGGAGACCAGATGATGCACAGCTCAAGTCCATCTTATACTGGATCGAAAAATAGTATGAACTCACCTCATGGTAATCTCTCTGGTCTTCCACTATAAAGTTATAAGGCTGTCCCTGGCAGCTGGCAGAACACACACACTGATTGTATGACCTATAAACTAAAATTCATTATGGGCCAAATGAGTGAGCTTGAAACTGCCTTGCTATATCAAAATATTGTCGAGCAGGGTCATATTGCATCCAGGTAGAATTGCAGCCTCATAGATAAAGGGAATATAGGCCCCATCACTACCTAAGTAGGCTATTGCAAAAACAAGATGTGCCATGGCAGCTAAGTGTCAACTACCAGAAACCTCACGGTGTGGTTGTTCCATATACAGCTGTTCTGCAGAAGCGCTAGTCTTATAGGACCAGATCAACACAGACTCTGGCAAGTGTTTTGTGGCTATTTATCTGAAGAATGTTTTCAGTCTCTCTCAGGAAAGACGATCAAAAGCAATTTTCAATTACTTGGGTAATAAAGAAGTTTACATTCATGTTTTTTCTGCAAGGCTATGACAATCTTTCTGTTCTATATCACAATATAATCTGAAGGAATTTTGATCATTTTGACATTCCACTATTCTGATGACATCATGCTAAGTGGAGCTTATGAATAGGATAGAAAGTCCTCTGGATGATCTGTAAGACAAATGTGTATCATGGAGTAGAACAAACTGTAAACCCTCCCTCTTTTCACCTCTAAAGTATTTTATTGGGTTGCCTACATGAAAATGTTTGCCTCTATTTCCTAGATTCTTCAAAACCATGGTTCCACTGAGGCTGCTGTAGCTATGAATCTCCCTATAAGCCTCCTTCACACTCAATTCATTGTGGTTATAATTCTATGTGGTTATATCAACTTTCCTTCAACGGTTTTGTTTTTAATAATTAAATTGATTTATTTATTATCTTCCATCGTTGTGCATTTTTGTACAATATTTGATTTCTCCCCCCAGTTCTCCCATCCCCATAGTTCTTATAGTTCTCATAGTTCCCACCAGCATAGTTCTCCCACCACCATATTACCTGTGAATGGTCACCAGAGTCCCTGGTGCTCACTCCTGCCCTGTTTTGACCCCTCTCCCTAATTCAAAAGTTTTTTTTAAAGATTTATTAATGCATACAAGAACTGGGGTACAGGCCGGAGGTGTGGGGAGTGAGAGGATTCACCAGAGACAGAGTGGGGAGCAGAAAAGGTGGATCTCCTGAAATGCACTGCTGAGGGGAGCAACAGGCCAGACAAGAGAGGTCTGCTGAGCCATGTGGGTAGCTCCCTGGCGGGGGGACTGAACTCTTGCTACAGTGGCTGCGGGTAGCTTCATAGTGCTGAGACTTAACCCCTTGCGCTACCAGGGAATCCCAAATTCAAGAGTTTTGTACATAATCATTGCCTCTTTTATTTTATTTTTTTTTTATAGAGGCATGTTTATTTATTTATTTGTTTGTTTGTTTGTTTGTTTGTTTATACATGCACTGGGTACAGTCAGAAGCGCGGGAGGGTGAGAGGATTCACCAGAGCCAGAGCGGGGAGCAGAGCAGGCAGAAGGACCGAAGTACACTGCTGAGGGGAGCAGCGGGCGGCAGGAGAGGTCTGCGCACCATGTGGGACCCTCCTCTGGTGGCTGGGGAGCAGCCGGGAATCGAACCGGCGCTGCAGAGGCCGCGGGCAGCTTCGCAACCCAGCGCTCAACCGCTGCGCCACCGGGGATGCCCTCATTGCCTCTTTTAAAACAACATTGGTGAGGGGAGAAAAGGTACATGTTATCTTTCTGTGTTCCTGTTTCACTGTTTGTATCATAAATGCCTGGGTAGCTAAGATTTGTGAGGAAGTATAGAGAATAACTCATTCAGGGAAAATTATCCCTCCAAGGAACTATAATTCTCTCTGGGAAGTGGAATTAGATTCTCTGCACTGATTTACTGCATCTGAGGATATCTGCTTCCTATCACTCTGGAAATCACTGGAATGTTTCCCTTCTAGTTAATTTTGACATTCTCCTTGGGCATTTTCATTAACCACTGGTAATTTATTTATAATAATTAATACTCTGTACAAGTCTTTTTCAAAGAATTAGCAAGATGTCCATTTGCAGCAATTGTCATTCCTGCTAGGGGTGGCATGATAATCACAATTCTGGAAAGAGATGAGATCAAAAGGTTCCCAAAGTTATAACCCAGGGTTTAGCTGCTTCTCAACATCCAGAAAGACCATCACACCTTAGCCAGTATGCTTGCAGCACAGGTGCATTAAGTATTTACATACACTAGGTGAGAGGAAATGCTGGAAAAGCCTTGCTAACTGGGCTCGCCAATGGGGGGAAAGCTGTTTCCTGGTAATTGTAAAGAGATGATGTAGGTCCTTCCCCTTCATCAGCCTTAGATACCACTTACTTTGTCTTCCAGCAAGTGTTTCATATTTATCTACCTTTTCTCTGTGATAAAAGTACTTATAATTTCCATTTGCAAAATATGGATTATAACACATATGTCAAGATATAGAATGTTTGAACACATACGTCAATATATTGATTGTTTTTGTTGTTGTTTTTAAATGAATTTTATTTTTATATTCCCCATACAATTGGAACCCCCTTATTTTGACCCCAATCCCTCTCCTTCCAGCCCCCACCCCCCATAGCATGTCTCTGGTTCATAGTTGTTTGTTGATTTTGATTTTCACTTTCTCATAGTTAATCATTTTTCTGGTCCCTTATTTAAGTTTTCTAGATTCCTGCTATGAGTGAGACCATCCGGTATTTTTCTTTTTCTTTCTGGCTTATTTCACTGAGCATGATCCCTTCCAGAGCCATCCATGTTGCTGCAAATTGCATGTGTTTATCTTTTTTGAATGCTGAGTAATATTCCATGGTATATATGTACCACATCTTCTTGATCCAGTCATCTATTTTTGGGCATTTGGGCTGTTTCCAAAGCTTAGCTATTGTAAAGAGTGCTGCTATAAATATAGGGGTGCAGGTGCTCTTTGGAATTGATGTTTTTGTGTCCTTTGGGTAAATACCTAGGAGTGGAATTGCTGGATCATATGGAAGCTCTATGTTTAGTAGGTCCAGAAATCTCCACACAGCTCTCCATAGTGGTTGGACCAGTTTGCACTCCTACCAACAGTGCAGGAGAGTTCCTTTTTCTCCACATCCTCACCAACATTTGTTGTTGCTAGTTTTTTTAATATATGCCATCCTCACTGGTGTAAGATGGTGTCTCATGGTAGTTTTGATTTGCATTTCCCTGATTACAAGTGATGTTGAACATTTTTTCATATGCCTGTTGGCCATTTACATTTCCTCTTCAGAGAAGTTTCTTTTTAGCTCTTCTGCCCATTTTTTGACTGGGTTATTTTCTTTGTTGTTGCTGAGTCTCATCAGCTCTTTGCAGATTTTTGTGATCAGTCCTTTATCATTAGTGTTGTGTGCCAAAATGTTCTCCCAGTTGGTGGGGTTTCTCTTTGTTTTTGTTATTGTCTCTTTTGCTGTGCAGAAGCTCTTTAATTTGATGTAGTCCCAGCTGTTGATCTTTGCCTTCACTATCACTGCTTTGGGTGAAGTGTCTGTAAAGATGTCTTTGATGTGCATATCACGTAGTGTTTCGCCTATATTTCCTTCTATGTATTTTATGGTTTCAGGTCTTATGTCTAGTTCTTTAGTCCATTTTGAGTTGATTTTTGTGTATGGTGTGAGGTAGTGGTCAAGCTTCATTCTTTTCCATGTAGCAACCTAGTTTTCCCAGCACCATTTATTGAACAAACTTTCTTTGCTCCAATGCATAGTCTTTGCTCCTTTGTCAAAGATTAGTTGACCATAAATCTGTGGGTTTATTTCTGGATTTTCTTTTTTTTTTTTTTTTCTGACCATGTAGAAATTTATTGCTACCACCTTTTCACCATTGAAGCTTATGATCTTGGTCTTTCCTTCTTGCCTTTGTATAAGGCCAAAAGAGACACATTGGCTACTTTGACGACCTTAAAGCGGACTCCAGGAATGTCACCGACAGCATGACCTTTGCGACCAAATCCAGCAACCAGAACTTCATCATTTTCTTCAATAAAATTCAAACAACCATCATTGGGTACAAAGGCTGTGATTTTTTTTCCCGTTTTTGATCAACTGGACTCTCACACACTTCCGGATGGCAGAATTTGGCTGTTTGGCTTCAACTCCTACTTTTTCCAGCACAATTCCCTTGGCATGGGAAGTGCCTCCGAAAGGATTGGCCTTTAGGGCAGTACCTAAATGGGCTTTTTTGTACTGTTTATCATGCCACTTTTGATCTCGTCGGTGGCTTCTGAGCTTCCTGGCAGTACGAAGACCGCGACACTTGCCCATCCTGCCGGCGCCGAGGGCCTACGCAAAAAGTATTTCTGGATTTTCTATTCGATTCCGTTGGTCTGTGTGTCTGTTCTTGTTCCACTACCATGCAGTTTTGATGATTATGGCTTTGTAGTATAGTTTGAAGTCTGGGAGTGTGATGCCTCCATTCCCTTCTTTTTTTTTTCAGGAGAGCTTTGGCTATTTGGGGTTTTTGGTGATTCCATATGAATTTCATCAATAATTGTTCTATTTCTTTGAAGAATGACATTGAAATTTTTATTGGAATAGCATTGAATCTGTATATTGCTTTTGGTAGGATGGCCATTTTAATAATGTTTATCCTTCCAATCCATGAGCAGGGGATGTCTTTCCATTTATTTCTGTCTTCTTCTATTTCTTTTAACAGTGTTTTATAGTTTTCTTTGTATAGGTCCTTTACCTCTTTTGTTAGATTTATTCCCAAGTATTTGATTTTTTTTGTTTCGATAATAAAAGGGATGGTTTTTTTGATTTCTTCTTCTTCAGATTTATTGTTTGTGTATAGGAAGGCTACTGACTTTTGCGTGTTGATTTTGTATCCTGCCACTTTACTGAACTGATTGATGAGTTGAATTAGTGTTTCTGTGGAGTTTTTGGTGTTCTCTATGTATATTATCATATCATCTGCAAATAGTGATAGTTTGACTTCTTTTCCTATTTGGATTCCTTGTATGTCTTTCTCTTGTCTTACTGCTCTGGCTAGGACTTTGTTGTTGTTTTTAATGAGAATTAGGTTCACTTGCATCCCTGTGAATTGGCTTACAACACTGTGTCCTCTTCAGTTACGTATTTGTGGGCCTGCAGTAGCTGAAGATAGCTTCACATTGCTGTGCTTAACCCCGTGCACCAGGGAGGCCCTTATTTTCAGATATCTTAAAATACATTATCATATTGCAAAATCTTGGCTTCTTAGCTCCATGCCTGCATTGTATAGTCCAAACTTCAATAATTTTCTAATTCAGTTTCTCTTATTGCATTAAATATTCCATTAAATGTGTGTTCTGCAATTGAGGTGGTTTCCCGTCAATAAGCATACATATTTTGGCATAATTTAGAATGAAATATTCTGCAATATCAGTTAGACTTGGGAAGGAAATCAGATATTCTGAATCTTTCTTTTTTTTTTTTTTTTTTAAAGATTTATTTATTTATTTATACAAGCACTGGGTACAGTCAGAATCGCGGGAGGGTGAGAGAATTCACCAGAGCCAGAGCTGGGAGCAGAGCAGGCAGAAGGACCGAAGCACACTGCTGAGGGGAGCAGCGGGCGGCAGGAGTGGTTTGCGCGCCATGTGGGACCCTCCTCTGGTGGCCGGGGAGCAGCCGGGGATCGAACCGGCGCTGCAGAGGCTGCAGGCAGCTTCGCAACCCAGTGCTCAACCGCTGCGCCACCGGGGAAGCCCAGCTATTCTGAATCTTTCTATCCCTAACGACTCAGATTTTCCTTAGGGTACTAGTCTAAGGATACCTATTTGCCGTTTGACTTTAAAAGTATTTTAGAATTCTAAATTTTCCTGTGACAGCTTCCATATAAATGTTTTTTTTTTTTTTTTTGGGAATTTTTTTTTTTTTTGGGAATTTTTTTTTTTTTTAAAGATTTATTTTTGTTTATTTATACAAGCACTGGGTACAGTGAGAAGAACGGGAGGGTGAGAGAATTCACCAGAGCCAGAGCGGGGAGCAGAGCAGGCAGAAGGACCGAAGTACACTGCTGAGGGGAGCAGCGGGCGGCAGGAGAGGTCTGCGCGCCATGTGGGACCCTCCTCCAGTGGCCGGGGAGCAGCCCGGAATCAAACCATCGCTGCAGAGGCTGTGGGCAGCTTCGCAACCCAGTGCTCAACCGCTGCGCCACCGGGGAGGTCCTAAATGTTTCTTTTTGTTCACAAATATTAGCATTATAAATTTTGGGGAAAGGAATAAAATTTTTGAGTTCCCATTCTCTGAAATTTACTGGAAGATTTTTGTTTGTTTCCCTATGTCTCAGAATCTGATATAATTAAAGAGCTAGTAAGTCTCTTACCCAAAGCACACGTGATCAGGCAGAAACTTCTCATTTTGTTTTCTTTAGTATATAAATGTAAGTTTGGAGGATGCAGAGAGTCAACTGATCCCTTTTCATAGATGGTTATTGTTATTTCAGCCCCTATACATATATTTGTCCCTGCTATTTTTTATCCTCACATTCCATTTCTTTATCAGTTCCTTCAGGGTACAGATGGAAGTTTTAATGAGTGATTATTGCATGGAAATGAATAGCCAATTTGGATAGCTAGGGGGTGGGTAATTCTGGAAGTGCTTATTATCATGGAATGGAGCCTGAAAGGCTGTTTTGTGACTGAGCTGAGAACTGGTCTGAGAACTGGTCTAATGCTTGATTTACTAAAATACCCCACCTAGAGTTGCTTAAATTTTTTTACATGTCTGGATATGTAAAACGTGTTCTCTGTGTTTTGTCTGGGCATTACCCTGGCTGCTCCCCTTCACGGCAATGTTTGAAGTTAGCTGTGATTCAGCTTTTCCATCCTCTTGGCTTTGCCCGAAAGCTTTCTGTCTGCTGTCTGGCCTAGTCCTGTGTGTGTCTTCCTATAGCTGACTTACATGTTTACACCATCTTGGGGAGACTAAACAAGCCGGATCCACCTAAAACGATCTGCTTGCTCTCTTTTCTTAGAAGATAGAACTTCCATGATTGGACGCTTAGCTTTGTTTTGCTTTCTTATTCCTGCAACAACAGCACACTGGTCTAATTGCTAAAAATTTTCATTCATTTTCAAAATTACTCATTTATAAAGATCTATTCATTTTTTATATTTACTTTGTACTTATGCTTTTCGTTGTATTTTTAAAATTTCTAAGCATTTTCACTTAATTTTGTTTTTAAAGATAAATATCACTCATAAGGAAATGTTTTACTTATTTTATTATTCATATGTCTCTTTTTCCTCCCCTCACATTTAGGTCTGAAAAATAGTAAAAAAAAAAAAATTGCAGTAATAATTGTCACTTAAGATTTGTTTCTACCTAAAAGGTAAATTATTCCTTTTATCACCTTATTATCACAAGATCTATGTAATTTGGGAATAATTTAGTTTAGTTCTGAATTAATTTTGAATATTCACTTGAATATAATTTCTTACCATCTGTTTTAATTTCTTACGATTATTTAATAGTGAAATGGATTATATTATAAATCTTAAATATACAAGATAAATGAAAAAAACAACATCAGGAAGGAATAGAATAGTTAACAAAATAAAGAATTAAGATGTATTCCCCTATACTTACAAAAAACTGACATATAAGAAACACGGTGTTTAGTTTATAGTGAAAGATGTTTAATTTGATAGAAGCATCATCATAAATCTGTGTGCATAAGTATTTAAAAACAGTCATACCTTATAACATATGTAAAACTGAGCTTAAATATTTAAGTAAAATATTTAAATAAGAAATATATGCAATATTAAAAATACAAAGCAATAAAATTTTACCAAAAAACTCCACATGACTGTATCTAAAATTTAGGGGCAAGAACAACCATATCAAACAAGATGAGAAAGCAGAAATTATATAATAATAAAAGGAATTGTTTGACTAAATATAAAAATAATTGTGATCTAGTATAAGCACAAAAATATACAAAATTAATACATGAATAATTAATCTAGTAGCAAGGTGCTTGGCATATTACAAAATTTTATTAGGTACACAGAAATAATTCTTACACATTTTTGAGGCAAGATTAAGGGAATGATGGAGACCAGGTATGAATATTCAATTAACAAAGAATAAACCCAAAATATATAGAAAAAAATTCAAAATCACTTGAACAAAGAAATGCAAATTAAAGTAACAATGCAGTATCCCTTGCTACTCATCAAACTGGGGGGAAATAATGAAATTACTAATGCTGGTGGGAATTAAGGAGACAAGCATCATCCTACCTTGCTGGTGAAATTATCATTTTAACCTACCTTGAAAACCATTATCTTCATCTGCTCTCTTTCCTCTTATCTGTTCTTTTTTTCCCTGTCTTCCTTCTCTCCCTTCTCCTCTCAGCAGCATCCCACTTCTGTGAATCTATGCCATAAGAATAAAGGAAGACGAATGAGCTCACTACATCACTGCAGTAAGTAAACAACACCTAAATTCTTACATACTCAGGAAAAATATAATGAGGCTAATAATATACTCATAAAAGTTAAAAGACAGACCACAGAGTCACTTCAAATCCCAATTCTGTTATTCATCAGATATGTGAATATTAACAAGTTATCTAATTTGACAGTGACATGGGGATAACTAATTCATAAGTTTGTTTCCATAATTTAAAAAAGATCATATGTATAAAGCATTTTAAATAATTCCTAGGACATTGTAATCAAAATATGGGCTCATTATTGTCATAATGTTCAATGCATTGGCAGGATGATTGGGAAGTTTATGAGTAAGTATCAGTAAGGGAATATTTTTTTATCTGTGTCCCGAAATATTATACAGCCATTCAAATGATGATTTAGAACTATATTTGAAGAGTTAGTAGAATTTCCATGAGTAAATCTGACTCTAGAAAGATGATATACATGTGTATAAGATGATCCACTTTGAGCTTCCCTGGTGGCACAGGGGTTAAAGTCACAGCACAATCAAGCTATCACTAGCCACTGCAACATGAGTTCCATCCCCAGCCAGGGATCTAACCCACAGGGCAGACCTCTCCTGTCTTGCCCGCTGCTTCCCTCAGCAGTGTATTTCAGTAGATCTGCCTGTTCTGTTTCCCACTCTGTCTCTGGTGAATCCTCTCACCCCCCTGCACCTCTGGCCTGTACCCCAGTTCTTGTCTGCATAAATAAATAAATCCTTTAAAAAAAATGATCGCTTTATTTTAAAACTCGGTAAAATTCCCTGCATGTTTTTATTTACGTCTATGAATGTTTATATGTGATTGTGTATATCCATGTTTGTAAAATATATATAATAATAAATTGAAATGTTTATAGATATGTACTATATTTGTAAATATTGATTTACAGCACTTTCCCCTGGGGGAAGATTAGTGTGACTAAAATATATGGGTATTAAATAGTGTATAATTACTAAAGATTCTGGAATTGGGATAAGCATTGGATTTCATTTGTAATATAACTAACCTCAATCTTTTCTTTTCTCTATAGATAATTCTGAATATGAATAAAACCCATTCTCGGCTACTGACAGAATGGATTCTGGTGACATATTGGGGATTTTTTTGTCTGTCCGAGGGAGAATTCTCCCTCCTTTTTCTTTATACCTTCACTTTCTGCACTGGATACAGGTCAAGACCTTCAGACCATATACTCAAATATGTATTCTTATTAACCAACTACTTAACCCTCCTCTCTAAGGGAATCCCTCAAACAATGGCGTTTTTTGAGTGGAGCAACTTCCTGGAGAATTATGGTCATAAATTTGTGTTTTATATTCCTAGAGTAGCCCAGGAATTCTCTCTTCAACTTGCCTCTTGAATGAGTCTCAGGTTATCATAATCATGCCTAGTAAATCCAGGTAGGCTGAGCTCAAAGTCAGAGCCCCAGAATACATTGGCATCTGTTTCCTTTGCTGGGTAGTGCATCTTCTGGGAAACACACTGGCTCCTCTGAAAATGACTGGCCTAAGAAACTTCTCTCTGAAAATTCTGTATACTTTTCTGGTGCTGTTAATCCCATCAGCTCTCCACTCAATGCCTTCATGCATGCTATCACTGATGAGATGTACTTGGGGCTCTGGATCTGGACCAGCAGTTCCGTATTGTTTTTTCTCTACAAACACACACAGCAGTTCAAACACATTCACAGCTCCAGACTTAACTCCAGCCTCTCTCCAGAGACAAAAGCTACCCGGAATATTCTAATTCATTTATCTTTGTCTTTTATTCACATTTTCTTTCATCTCCTCGATCTATATGTCTGTGCTTAACATTCCTCAAAACCAAGATCTTTTTAAAATAATGTCTCATCATATTTTCTCTTTTATCTGCCATTCTAATTAAACAGAAAGACAGGTAGAAGCCAAGAAGGAAGGACAGTGCCTGCCTGGGGCAATCAGTAAAGAACCATCAAGTGTAACAGTGAAATAATTTTGGGGGGAAAAATAAGAATGAAAACACTCATTCAAAGAGAAAAAAATTATTTAACAATTCAATGTGAGTTTATCTATCAAATATATTAGGTGATATTAAATTATCATAGAATATAGATTCCATTGGATATACCTTAAAGAATGATTTTTATTTTAAAACATTAATATTTAAAGTAGCAATTCATTTTTATCTAAATTTATGAGAAATTTTATATTTGATTTCAATTTTTAATTTAAATTTAAATATTTTAAATTTAAAACTATGTGAGCACGATCTTTAGAGGAATTGAAAGCAAAAATTTTAAACATTATCATGATAGAGACTGTGGTTGATCAGAGTAATGCTGAGAAATTATACTTGATCTCCCAGAACTATGCACATGTTCCCAGTTAAGACATAATCTCTGAATTTTTCCTTTAAAGGAACTTGGTGTTTTGAGGGACTTTTGTTCCAAGGGGTAGAAAGAGCTACCATTTAAGGGAACAAGCACTCCACCCCAGGATTTCTCAATTCCACTTGATAAGACTGAACTTGGCAGATCCCATGTAGCATAACTTTCTACTTTAAGATCCTATGAGTCACATGTAGAAATATCTATATTAAATTTTAAATGAAGTGAATACAGTTTTGACTATTGATAAAATAATTAACTGCATATGCAGATGTGACAATTTATAGTATTATGTAAATATCTGAAGCTGTTCTGAATATTATAATTGAAGCACATAAAAATGTAGGAGTTCAAAATTTGGACAAGACATATCTCTAAAATGACAGGTTCAGGTTTGGCAAGAAGAGATTTTGGAGTGGTACTGGATATAATCACCCTCAGAAAACTGAAACAGCGGGCCTCCCCGGTGGCGCAGCGGTTGAGCGCTGGGTTGCGAAGCTGCCCGCGGCCTCTGTGGTGCCGGTTCGATCCCCGGCTGCTCCCCGGCCACCGGAGGAGGGTCCCACATGGCGTGCAGACCTCTCCTGCCGCCCGCTGCTCCCCTCAGCAGTGTACTTCGGTCCTTCTGCCTGCTCTGCTCCCCGCTCTGGCTCTGGTGAATTCTCTCCCCCTCCCGCGCTTCTGACTGTACCCAGTGCATGTATAAACAAAACAAACAAACAAACCAGCAAAACAAATAAATAAAGCATGCCTCTATTAAAAAAAAAAAAGAAAAAAAAGAAAACTGAAACAGCAACTCACAAGACTGAGGCATTACAGAATTGGAAGAAATAGATTTGAGCTGTACCTACACTTCCTAACTTCAGAGTTCACTCTCTTCCACTGCCAGGTATTGGAACTTTGAGAAGACATTTAACTCCTCCTCTCTACACAAACATTGTTATTTCATTATCAACAAACAGGAAATAAAAAATATCCTGTCCTGCCACTTTCTCTGAGCAAACGTGGGAGACACAGCAGGTAAAGTAATCTGACTAATTTGCAAACTTTTGAGTAGGAAAAATATAATATTATGTATTATCTTTCTTTATTTGAGGAAGTTCTTGGGCAGAAATTTCCTAGATAATTTGCCTGCAGATAATGTGTAGAAACCTGCAGATAAATACTGATAAGCAGCTTGTACTATAATATTTTCAGTATACAGGTAAGCTGTTAGTAAATACTCTGGCTTTCATTTCAAGTTATTAGTTTCCAAATAACCAATTGTTAATAACAAAACTATCATTATAGAAGATTTAGATTATGGGAATAAGTGTTCAGTGTTTTGGTTCAGTGTATTTTCCAGTGACCGCCCTTCCTACTCAGAAATAAATGCCAACTTTTAAATATTTCTTTTTTTTTTTAAAGATTTATTTTTATTTATTTATACAAGCACTGGGTACAGTCAGAAGCGCGGGAGGGTGAGAGAATTCACCAGAGCCAGAGCGGGGAGCAGAGCAGGCAGAAGGACCGAAGTACACTGCTGAGGGGAGCAGCGGGCGGCAGGAGAGGTCTGCGAGCCCTGTGAGACCCTCTTCCGGTGGCTGGGGAGCAGCCAGGGATTGAACTGGTGCTGCAGAGGCTGCGGGCAACTTCGCAACCCAGCGCTCAACCGCTGCGCCACTGGGGAGGCCCCCAACTTTTAAATATTTCATAGAAAATTTCTTTTTTTTTTTTTTTTTTTTAAAGATTTATTTATTTATTTATTATTTATTTATTTATTTATTTATACAAGCACTGGGTACAGTCAGAAGCGCGGGTGGGTGAGAGAATTCACCAGAGCCAGAGCAGGGAGCAGAGCAGGCAGAAGGACCGAAGTACACTGCTGAGGGGAGCAGCGGGCGGCAGGAGAGGTCTGCGCACCATGTGGGACCCTCCTCCGGTGACCGGGGAGCAGCCGGGGATCGAACCGGCGTCGCAGAGGCCGCGGGCAGCTTCGCAACCCAGCACTCAACCACTGCGCCACCTGGGGAGGCCCATAGAAAATTTCTTGATGCTTCTTTACATATTCTTTATTAGCTCTTTTTCTGGAATCTTATAAAAATTGTATTTTGAGATCATTTTTCCCCTAGTGTCCAATTATTCTAGGAAACTGAATTCAGTAATTTAATTACATCAGACACAATTCATTCCAAATGACCTGAGGAAAGAACAAACATTAAGTATTTAGACTTCATTTCCTGATCAGTTAGAACTCTCAGTGAGAATCTGTTCTTTGTGTGAGATTTTCTGTCCTACTATCAAAAGCTGCATATTTCCACAGCTCTTCTGCACCATGAAGGGGTCCTTCTCGAATGTCATTCTTGTTCTGGCCATGTCCACCTGTGCTGTCCTTGCAGCTGGTGAGTTGTATGTCCTTGTACTGCCCACACTTTCTGCAGTAGACGTGCCATTCAGTTTTATTTCTCATGTTACAGGTATGTGATCTGAAACTCAGTGAAAAGATTCACACACTGTCATTGGTAGCAAAGCTGGGAGTGGACACCAAAGTTTCCAAATCCAGTTCTACCGCACATTCCAAAATACCTGGTTTACCACCCAGGATATTCAAATCTTGGAAATATTTACTTCCAGAGTCTATATCTATCTACTTCTCAAACCCCAGAACTCTTTAGTTTCTTTGGAAGCACACGAAATGTTATCCTGGTTACTGGCTGGTTTCATGGTTACCTGTAAGGAATCTCTAAGGGGTTCAACACATTCATTTTCCATTTGGACTCTGAATTTTTTTAAAGATTTATTTATTTATACATACTAGAACTAGAACAGGCAAGAGGTGGGGGGGGGTGAGAGGTTTCACCAGAGACAGAGTGGGGAATAGAACAGGCAGATCTACTGAAACACACTGAAGAGGGGAGCAGTGGGCGAGTCAGTAGAGGTCTACTCTGCTACCTGGGTCACCTCCCTGCCTGTGGATCGAACTCGTGCTGTAGTGGCTGGCTGTGAACAGCCTCATAGGTTGAGTCTCAACCCCTTGCACCACAAGGGAGTTCCCTGGACTCTGAAATTTTTCTCATTTTCTCTCTCTTTCTCATGTAAAACATTTTTTCAATATGCTCACATCTCAAGAAGCTCTGCAACAAACTGAAAACTATTCTTCATGCCTCTTATTTGTAATGGGGAGAAACCCCTTTTTTTCCCCTACTAAAAGAAAATCTATAATTGTTCCCTGAAAATAATTTCATTTCTTCTGAACTGTTTCCTTTGCCTCCAACTTGACTTCCTCTAAACTATCGCCTATACCAGTACAAGACTTAGGGGTTTGTTTTTGTTTTTTAAAGATTTATTTATTTATACAAGAACCAGGGTACAGGCCAGATGTGCGGGAGGGTGAGAGACAGAGTGCGGAACAGAACAGGTAGGCTGACTGAAATACACTGCTGAGGAAAGCAGCAGGTGAGACAGGAGAGGTCTGTCGCACCATGTGGGTTGCTCTGCGGCCAGCGGGATCAAACCGGCACTGCAGAGGCTGCGGACAGCTTCACAGCGCTGCACTCAACCACCCGCGCCACCGGGGAGGCCCCAAGAGTCACGTTTTTCAATGCAAATCTTAGTTCTCTGTACTAAACAGAGATAACTGTTTAGTAACTGTGGTAACTCCTTTACTACCACTCTAGGTTTCCCAGCAGCCACTCATTTACATATTCAGTAAATATATGCCAGGTGCTGATCTTGTGACAGAAACAGACCTAGACAATAGTTATGTGGCAGGAATGGCCCCTGCCATTGGCCTGTGGTTAAGAGACAGAGACGGAGACAGGCATCACGGTCCACATCAACAGTTAACACATATTTATATAATACAAAATATCTTATAATTACATGACTTTATTTGTATAAATTCTATAATTTATATAAACTTATATACTAAATTTATAATTATGTATCCAAAGCAGTTTCTAAAATTTTAATTATATATATACATATATAATTAATTTTTAAAGGTATCTCAATATAACTATTTCATAGTAATTTGTAATTTAGAGGGTGTTTTCTAAAAACAAGTGAGGATTACAAAAGTTATTATTTACCAGGGGCCTCCCTGGTGGCAGAGGGGTTAAAGTCTCAGCACTATCAAACTATCCCCAGCCACTGTGGCCTGAGTTTGATCCCCAGCCAGGGAGCTTACCCATATATGGCGCAGCAGACCTCTCCTGTCTAGCCCACTGCTCCCCTCAGGAGTGCATTTCAGTCAATCCACCTGTTCTGCTCCCCACTCTGTGTCTGGTGAATCCTCTCACCCACCCCCAACCCCGCACCTCTGGCCTATAACGCAGCTCTTATATGCATAAATAAATAAAATAAATCTTTTTTAAAAATTATCATTTACCTATGAAATGGAAGAGCTGGAATTAAGATCTCTATTTAACAAGAAGAAGATGGGAAGAAGTTTTCTGAATCTTCACTCCTTTAGAGGACAGTATGCATAAAAAAAAAACAGTCTCTTTTGATTGAATTTGATGTTTCCTGTGTGCCAATGAACATCTCCCTTATCTTGGCTTTCTCCCCTAAGACAGAGCAGCAACTTTTCTAAGCATGTTTTTTGTCTTCCAGACTTCTCTCTTCCTGCAGCTTCCAAAGGGGCTCACCTCCAAGAGACAAAGGTAAGCTTTGCAAAATCACAGTATGCCATTGAGGGAAGGGATTTTATTTTCTTTCTTTTTTTTTTAAGATTTATTTATTTTTACATAGAAGAACTGGGGTGTAGGCCAGAGATAGGGGGTGGGGGTGAGAGGATTCACCAGAAACAGAGTGGGGAACAGAACAGGCAGATTGACTGAAATACGCTGCTGAGGGGAGCAGTGGGCGAGACAGGAGAGGTCTGCTGTGCCAAGTAGGTTAGTTCCCTGGCCAGGGATCAAACTCAGGCCTTTGCAGTGGAAGTGCAGAGAATTACCCCCTAGGCTACCTGGGAGGCCCCACAGGGATTTTCTTTTTTTTTTTTTTTTAAGATTTATTTATTTATTTATACAAGCACTAGGGTACAGTTGGAAGCACGGGAGGGTGAGAGAATTCACCAGAGCCAGAGCAGAGAGCAGAACAGGCAGACTGATGACATACACTGCTGAGAGGAGCAGCGGGAGGCAGGAGAGGTCTGCATGCCATGTGGGACCCTTGCCCTGGGGCCGGGGATTGAACCGGCACTGCAGAGGCTGCGGGCAGCTTCGCAACCCAGCACTCAACCACTGCGCCACTGGGGAGGCCCCACAGGGATTTTCTTAATAGTAAGGAATTTATAGCTCAGATTGGGGAGTACACAGATTATATATTTTGTTACAACAAATATTATGCTATATCGTACATATCATATCATATCATATCTATTTTGTTGGTGATACGTGCCAGGGGTCAAAAACTTAGGCATCTGAAGCTTGTTTTTCAAACTCCTAGTCTGTTGATCCTTATTCCATGGGCCCCGCCTCTGATGCCCCAGTACCAGTCATAATAGCCAGAGATCTGGAAGTAGGCATCTCATATAGTAGTCTGTCTCTCACCTCCAGGTTGAGTGTATCAAGAATATAAATAAGTGCTGGGCTTTCTCCTACATTAAGCCAAGTGAACTCATATGTGGCAGTGACCAGGTTACCTACAATGGTGAATGTCATCTCTGTTTCAAAATTCTGTAAGTTCTGAATTTATGCTCCCATTCTTCTCTCTTTTCCTCATTATTTTTTTTCTTTTCTGAAAATTGATAGTATTAACTGACCTATCTTTAGGTTCACAGACTCTTTTTTCTCATATCTGGTATTAGGCCTCTCCGGTGAATTTTTCATCTCAGATAATTGTATTTTTTTCAACTACACAATTTTTTTTATTGCCTTGGTTGTTTATTTTATTTTTGAATTGCATGGGTTCTTTACATATTCTAGATACTTTACATAGTCTAGATACTGTGATTACAAATACATTCTTCCATTCTGTAGGCTGTCTTTTACTTTTCTTATATGTACTTTAATGCAAAAGTTTTACATTTTTATAAAGTCCAAGTTATATGTATTTTTTTCTTTCATCATTCTTGCTTTTAGTGTCATACCTAAGAAATCACTATAAAATCCAAGGGCATGAAGATTTGCCTTCGTTTTCTTCTAAGAATTTTATAGTTTTAGTTCTTATATTTAGGTTGTAGATCTATTTTTTAGTTAATTTTTATATGTGTAATATTGGGGCCCAACTTCATCCTTTTGCATGAGATTACCTAGCACCAATTATAGGAGACTATTCCTCTTCTTGTTGAAAGATCTTGGCACTCTTGCCAAAAATTAATAGGCCACAGGTATTTATTTCTGGATTCTCAATTATATTTCTTTGTTCTATATGTCTGTCCTAATGCCAACACCACACTGGTTACTGTATCTTTTTTTCTTTTGTGTAGAAAAACTGGGGTGTAGGCCAAAGGTGTGTGGGGTGAGCAGATTCACCAGAGAGAAAGTAGGCAACAGAACAGGCAGATATACTGAAATACACTGCTGAGGGGAGCAGGGTGAGACAGGAGAGGTCTGTTGCCGATGTGTGGGTTAGCTCCCTTGCTGAGGATCAAACTCAGGCCCAAGCAGTGATAGCACTGAGAATTAACCCCTACACTACTAGGGAGACCCTGGAAGTATTTCTTCCTCTTCTACTATTTGGAAGAGTGTGAAAAGATTGGTATTAAACCTTTTAAATGTTTGATAGACTTAATTAATGAAGTTGTCTGGTCCTAAACTTTTCTTTGTTAGGAGGCTTTTTATTGCTGATTCAACCTCTCAATATTTTCCATTTCTTCTTGAGTCCATTTGTGTGTTTCTAGGGATTTGTTCACTTCATCTAGGTTATATAAATTATTGATCTACAATTTCCCCTACAATCATTTTTATTTCTGTAACATCAGCAGTAACACTTCCCTTCATTATTTGCATATTTAACTTTATTGCATATTAATTTTCTAAAATTCTGTATTTCCACTTAAATATTGAAGATTATTTTGAATTTTCTATGTTTGATTTCAGGCTGTGGTTTATCCAATAAATCTCCCTGACAAATAAATCACTATATAGCAGATATTTTTAAATATTTGTTAAATAAGAATTCACTATTAGCAAAATGTTTTCTTCTCACACCTAGGCAATGATTATCAGATAAAATTTAGTCATAATTAATAAATGTACTATATACTAACGAGCAAATATAGTAATTTCAAACTATCATTTCTTTCAGATATGAAGAGCTTAACATAACTAAACTGTATGATGGTCCATGTGTAAGTAAAGCCACTTTTTCATTTTAAGGATCAAACCAGGTACAGGGTTTTAAATATTTTGTCATAAAAAATTTCAAACATACATAAAATTAGAGATATTAATATAATACCTAGCATACAGAATCAACAAAGTACAAGTGTTTGCCACATTTTCTTCCTCTATTCTTTTCTCTTTTTTTTTTTCTGGATTATATTAACACAAGTTTAAGATAACATGTCATTTCACTCCTACGTACTCCAAAGTGCCTCTGTAAGAAGTGTAGACATTTCCTTACCTACCTACAATGCTGTTATTACACTTAATTAGTTCCTTGTCATCTTCTAATACATACTTCATGTTCAGATTTTCCCAGTCATCTCAAAAATAGTATCTTCTGGGAGAAGAAATATATTTTGAGCTGATAATACAAGAGTAAAGAATATTTATTCCACCCTTTCTCTTCCCTGCCAAGTTCAATTTCAGGAATATTGAAAAGACACTAATTGGAATACGAAAGGTTATTTTGAACAGAAATGAATCAGGCCTCTTTCTTAACCCTGGTCTAATTTCAGGTCTAGTTTTAGGTATAGGGCCAAAGTAAAAAGAACTCAGCTGATGCCACAGAGATTATAACATTATGAGGCAAGGCAATAGGACTGGAACAAAGTATCTGGAAGAGAAAATAATGAAGGTGAACAGTAAGTCTAGTAAAAAAAAAAAAAAAACAACTGTATAATTTTGTAATAATTTTATGACAATATCTTCTGACATCATCTCTCAATGACAAGTTTATAAGGCTCATCTGATTTACCCACATGCATACATATGACATACTTAGGAAATGTGTGTAATGTTAATGTTTTCTAGTTTCATTAAAGAGAAATGAAGATATTTAGGCACCTTCATGAGTCTTTAACTGTCAGGCTCTTTTTACTCTGGGATAATTCATAGAAAATCCTGCCGAATTCCTCTTCTATCTGGACAATAGCTCTTATAAAATAAGCCTCTGATCTCATGTCCTTTCCAAATTTGTAATTTCAAAGAAATGCTTTTAAGCTTAAAGGATATCCATAAACTGGTGTGTGAAGGCCATCTGCTGGCAGAATTTCCTTTTGCTTGTGGGAAGTCAGTCCTTTGTTCTATTCAGGTGTTCAACTGATATTATAAGTTCACCTACCTCATGGAGGGCAAACTGTTTTACTCAAAGTCCACTGATTTAAATGTTAATTTCATCCCAAAACACAGTCACAGAAATAACCAGAAAAATATCTGAGTACCAAATATCTGAGCACCAATCAAGAGGATACATAAAATTAACTTTCACAGAATCTGCCCTTGAACTTTTAGTTTGAAAGCAGTTGCCCTCCAATTCCAGTACCTGCTCCAGGGATCACCCTATGAGCAAGCAATGAGCTTTTAGTTTTTTTAAGTCTTTCCATTTTTGTCTGTTTGCTAGGTGGCACCTCAGATTATCTAAGTCAAAAAAATGAAGATACCGGGCCTCCCCGGTGGTGCAGCGGCTGAGTGCTGGGTTGCGAAGCTGCCCGCAGCCTCTGCAGCACCGGTTCGATCCCCGACTGCTCCCTGGCCACCAGAGGAGGGTCCCACATGGCGCACAGACCCCTTGTGCTGCCGGCTGCTCCCCTCAGCAGTGTACTTCAGCCCTTCTGCCTGCTCTGCTCCCCGCTCTGGCTCTGGTGAATTCTCTCACCCTCCCGCGCTTCTGACTGTACCCAGTGCTTGTATAAATAAATAAATCTTTTAAAAAAAAATGAAGATACTATAATCATCAACCTAGGAGTGGTCTGAATCACAAACTATTCACATTAATAAGAGGATTCTGAAATTCTGCTGGATGTACAATCAACCTACAAAACCAGTAACATTTATTTATTTATAGCAATGAAAATGAAACAAAGCTAAAACAAATGTCATCCAAAATTGAAATAAAAATGATGAAGTATCTAGAAATTAATCTAGCTATGAATAAGAATATTCCAGACTTGGGCCTCCCTGGTGGTACAAGGGATTAAGTTTCAGCACTATGAAACTATCAGCAGCCACTGCAGCACTGGTCCCCAGCCAGGGATCTAACCTACCTAACGAAGCAGACCTCCCCTGACTCGCCTACTGCTCCCCTCAGCAGTGTATTTCAGTCAATCTGCCTGTTCTGTTCCCCACTCTGTCTATGGTGAATCCTCTCACTCCCCACCCCTGCACCTCTGGCCTACCTCTTGTATGCATAAATATATAAAGTAAATCTTTAAAAAAAAAAAAACAGAATATTCCAGACTTCCAAAGAGGAAACTTTAAAATTTAATCAAAGGATATTTAAAATTATATAAATAAATGGAGAGCCTGTTCATGTTTCTAGATTATAATTTAAGTATTATGACTATGCTAATTTCCCTAAACTATCCTAAAAATTTACTTCATTTCCAATCAACATTCCAAATGAGGGCCTCCCCTGGTGGCGAAGCAGTTGAGCGCTGGGCTGCAAAGCTACCCGTAGCCTCTGCAGCGCCAGTTCAATCCCCGGCCGCCGGAAAGGTTCCCACATGGCACGCAAACCTCTCATGCCGTACCTGCTGCTCCCCTCAGCAGTGTATTTCTTCAGTCTGCCTGTTCTGTTCCCCACTCTGGCTCTGGTGAATTCTCTTACCCTCCCGCGCTTCTGACTGTACCCAGTGCTTGTATAAATAAATAAATAAATCTTAAAAAGAAATTTCAAATGATTGAAAATTTCTGAACATAAATGAAGGACACCATTGATAAATTAGCAAAAAGCTGAGAGAACTGGAGGAGATATTTCCCACACCTAAAAACAATAAGCTAATATGCACAATGTATAAATAAACAGCAAGAAAATATATAGCAAACCAATAGGAAAAAATTATCACAGGTTATATTTTTTTTAAAAGATTTATTTATTCATGCATACAAGAACCCAGGTATAGGCCAGAGGTGCGGGAGGGTAAGAAGATTCACCAGAGACAGAGTGGGGAACAGAAGAGGCAAACTGACTGAAATACACTGCTTAGGGGAGCAGCCAGCAAGACAGGAGAGGTCTGCTGCACCATGTGGGATTCTCCCCAGCCAGCCGGGATCCAACCCGCGCTGCAGAGGCTGCGGACAGCTTCACAGTGCTGTGCCACCGGGGAGGCCCTCATAGGTTATAGTTTTATAGACAATAATAGACTAGCATATGAAGGATATTCAAAAATTCACGAACAAGGGCCTCCCCGGTGGCGCAGTGGTTGAGCACTGGGTTGCGAAGCTGCCCGCGGCCTCTGCGGCACCGGTTTGATCCCCGGCTGCTCCCCGGCCACTGGAGGAGGGTCCCACATGGCGCGCAGACGTCTCCTGCCGCCCGCTGCTCCCCTCAGCAGTGTACTTCGGTCCTTCTGCCTGCTCTGCTCCCCGCTCTGGCTCTGGTGAATTCTCTCACCCTCCCGCGCTTCTGACTGTACCCAGTGCATGTATAAACAAAACAAACAAACAAACAAACAAATAAATAAATAAAGCATGCCTCTATTAAAAAAAAAAATTCACAAACAACCAAATTCAAATTAAAATGAAGTAACCAATTTGCACCTGTTAGATTAGCAGAACTCATAAGGCAGCCTAACCTCCAATACTGGTGACGAAATAGATCTATCTATACTGTCATGATCTGTGGTGACAGTGAAGACTGTTACAGCCATTCTGAGGAGCAATCTATGACTTCTCAGACAAAGTAAGAAATTAAGTATGTACATGTATCACAGTTCAACATTTCCAAATATAGGAAATTACAAAGAAAGTATCTCATAGCTTTGTAAAGTCACACATACGTTTACTGTGGTGTTATTCATGGGCTGGTGGCAAGTTTTGGGGGTACCCTACATGAGACTAGTTTAGAAACTAATAGGTGGGCCTCCCCGGTGGCGCAGCGGTTGAGCGCTGGGTTGCGAAGCTGCTGGCGACCTCTGCGGCGCCAGTTCGATCCCCGGCTACTCCCCGGCCACGGGAGGAGGGTCCCACATGGCGCGCAGACCTCTCCTGCCGCCCACTGCTCCCCTCAGCAGTGTACTTCGGTCCTTCTGCCTGCTCTGCTCCCCGCTCTGGCTCTGGTGAATTCTCTCACCCTCCCGTGCTTCTGACTGTACCCAGTGCATGTATAAACAAAAACGAACGAACAAACAAATAAATAAATAAATAAAACATGCCTTAAAAAAAAAAAAAAAAGAAAAGAAACTAATAGGTAAACTGTGGAGGGTGTCTTCCTGGAGTTCTTTGAAGATTTCAGACTAAATCAGTTGGATGCTTAGCAACACAGGCAAATTTCTAAACACTGCAATGTGAGAAGATGCAAGGGACATAATACAAGTAACACAATGTCATTATGTAAACTAAAAGAACAAACTATGTTTTCCCGCAAATATATAAACAAAAAGATATACAGTGAACTCATCAAAATATTGGCTACCAAGTGAGAAGAAAGGGAATGAATGAATAGTGGCCCCTCCCATAACCCTTTTTCAAAACAGAATAGAAACTCTGTTGCTGACATGATCACAAAAAGTATATCTGTAACAAGAAGACTATGCCTGATTGATAGCCAACCATTGCCCTGCGCTGTGTCACATAATTTATCTCCTCTCTTGTTTTCTTTACAGCCCCTACACCATGAAAAGGTATTGTTGTTAGCTACATTTCATATGCAAAGATTCAGAGGTCTAGAGAGAGAGGTGACATGTCCAAGGTCACAGAGATGGGAACTGGTAGGACTGCATCTTGAACCTGACTGGTCAACCTCCATACACTATTATTTAACACCACTTTCTATGCCTTCTATAGCTTCCTATATATATGCCTCTGATCAGACTCTACTTCACATCAACTCTACTACCGCTGCCATCCACCTTTTCTACCCCATGGAAGTTCCATAGTCTCTCTGGGGTCCAAAGACTCACACAGGCATTCACATCCTTAGCTCTCTTCTCTGCCCTCTTCTACACTGCATTTTCCCTTCTTCAGTGAAATTAAAATGTCTCTAGTCTACTTT